ATATATATATATATAAATGCTATCTTAACTAAATAAAAGCAGTAAAATAAAATCTCTAACAATAATAGCGATATTATTATAATAATAAAATAGAATACTGAATAATAACATTATAAATATCATAACAAATAATAGAAATGAGCTGCATATACACCCCAAATTCCTTACAACGCCTGAAGCATCTGCAAACGCTGTCGATAAAACGCGACATTTTGGGGCGCAGCCAAATCTGTTGCCTTCACTTGGAGATGAATTTACTATCCCTGCAAACCACAAACCCTAAACCCTAAACCCTAAACCCTAAACCCTAAACCCTAAATAATTCATAATAACCCTAATTCCTACACCCTATATATAGCCTAAATAACCTCAGAAACCCTAAATAATTCTAAATAACCACTTGGAGATGAATTTACTATCCCTGCAAACCACAAACCCTAAACCCTAAACCCTAAACCCTAAATCAATTGCCTCCACTTAGATAAGGAATAACAATGCCTGGCATCCACTCAAGAGCAAACCCTAAACCCTAAACCCTAGTGAACAGATGCGTTTCCCCCTAAACCAAGCAGGGGGTCATCTTGACTGCATGTGAGGGTTTAGGGTTTAGGGTTTAGGGTTTAAGGCCTCATACCTGCAACGTGAGTGCCGTCTGCACCGGCGCGTTCGCTTACTGAGAAGACAGCAACACAATCGCAGCAGCAGCAGTACAAGCAGCAGCAGTAGCAGAAGAAGCAGCAGCAGCAGAAGCAGCAAAAGCAGAAGCAGCAACAGTAGCAGCAGCAGCAATAACATCAGCGCTAGCACCAGCAGCAGCAGTAGCAGCAGCAAGAAGCAGCAACAGCAGCACTGCCCAGCAGGAGCAGCAGCAGCAGCAGCAGCAGCAGATTTACTTTCTTTATCTGTCTGTCCTGCATGCAGCACTCTTCCTTGGAGGTCATTGTGAAGAGCAACACCGTTGTCTACAACTCCAACCTGAAACAAACATAGGGTTTAGGGTTTAGGGTTTATAGGAGAAGCAGCAGCGACAGCTGCATCGGCAGTGTACAGCGAGACGGCTGTAAGAGGGGAATGTGGGCGCGTCCCCAGAGGGCGTCGTGCCTAGCTGCTAGGGTTTAGGGTTTAGGGTTTAGGGTTTACGAGAATGTTAGGGTTTCCCTTGGCGCCTAAGTTGTTTGCTTTAGTACATTTAGCAGAAAGATAGCCCCAGCGCTCTAAAACAGATTCTCCTTCCGTTTCATTCGGCTGCAGATACTCCACTTCTGAAGACACCACAAACCCTAAACCCTAAACCCTAAACCCTAAACCCTAGACCCTAAACCCTTTAACGGTAAACCGTAAACTCTAAACCCTTAGCGCTAAGGGCAAATCCCAAACCATTTACTTTCTAAACCCTAGACAATAAACCTTAGGCAATAAGCCAAAACCCTAAACCCTAAACCCTAAACCCTAAATAACGCAGGTAGCGGAGCACTCCAGCAACGCATGCATGCGCAGTACAGAGAAGACAAAATAGCAAGGGGCGGCGAATATATAATATATATATTAATTTTTATATATACTGTATATTCTTTATTACTATATATATTATATATTTTCTATGATATATCATATATCATTGTATACTATCTATTATCTATTATATATTATATTTTATATATTAATACTATATATTATATACTGTATATTATATATTATGATTATATACTATATATGATATATAATCTATACATATATATATATATATATATATTTATATATTGCGAAGGAGACAAAAAGAGACAACAAAGGAGACACGTGTACTCCGCATCTAAACAAATAAATAAATAAACAAATAAATAAATAAATAAATAAATAAATAAACAAATAAATAAATAAACAAATAAATAAATAAATAATAACTCTCCTCTCACCTGAGGCGTCTGGGGGCTCTGAATCTGCACTTTCTCCGTCTACAATTATCTGCGGTGTACGTACACCCAAACAAACAACAAAAAGAAACAAATAATATATTTTTTCTGTCTCTTTCTTTTATTCTGTCTCCTTACTGCAAGCATTCTCTTAGCACTCACTTATATAATATAATAAATAAAAAGACATTAACTTTTAATCAAATACATATATATATATATATATGAATATATTTACCGAATATATATACAAACATACATATATATTTATTAGTATAGCTGGAATGTACATATATATGTACATATATCTGCATATATATATATATATATATATCTGCAGATATATATATATATATATATCTGCATATATATATATATATATGCAGATATATATATATATATATA